AATAAAACCATTCTAAAAGCCTGTATCACAATAATTTAAAAAACGCCTAGGGGTATTTGCCCACTGTACCTCCATACCAAATTTCAGGACCTTGGGCCCTAAAATGAAGAAGCTGAATCCATTTAAAAAATGGCAGGAGAAGGAGGAGGAGGAGGAGAAGAAGAAACATCAGAAAAAGCAATATGGGTTCACCACCACTTTGTGGTGTGGTAAACCCATAATAAGTGTTACACTTACATTGATTTCCTCAATCTGAGCATTGATGGCATCTATGTCTCTGGCAACAGGATCCATATTGTCAAGGTCATCCTCAAGGTCACCAAGGGAGGTTTGAAGGTCACGTAGGTTATTCTGCAGAAAAAGATTGCAATTATGTTAATATAGTAATGTACATGTACAATGTACATACTGATTCATCCTCCCTGAAACCAGATCACACCAGATTCACTCTAATCTTACAGTTTATGTAATACCTAAATGGTAACATTTGTTTGGCTTCATGTACTCTTCTCCAAAATAAAACCTAATCAAGCACCATACTACTAGTTCATCTGTATGTTACTTCATCCTACCTGAAACTGGTTCAGCTCATGTAAGCCTGACTCTAGTTCTCCACACAGCTCATCAATTCGACTGCTCAGTTTCTCACAGCGATCCTTCGCAGCCTCCAGTGGACCGCGGATCAGGCTTGAGTCCGTTCCCTCGGGTGCGTCTGCAAGGACGCCCTCCCCAAAGTCCTTGGCATAGTCTATCTTAGACTGCAGATCAGCCACTTCAGACTGGAGATTCTAAAACAAAGGAAAGTAGTGGTTACAATTCTGTAACTTTGTCTTTATGAGAAAGAAAGAATAAGTTTATGTTTGCAACAGAATGCATAGATGCTACTAATACTCAGTAAATTGTTAAGAATATTACATTTAGAGACTGAGTCATACATGTAGGTTTCTACATGATTTCTTTCCTTCAGAGAACAAATGGATTATGACCATTTACATAAAGTTTGCTAGAAGAGGCATCCCAATGAGTGCATGACTGAATAATTGTAGTTAATTTCCAACTGATTATACCTTAGGTTCTGGAACTGTTTGCTGTCCCTGGCCTCTGGCCCGAGGTTCTCCTGCTCTGCCAGCTTGTCCTCCTGCTTGATCAGTTTGTCCTGGACGTCTTGAACTGCTTCGTTGAACTCCTTCAGACGTCCTAGCATATCCTCCAGGGATTGCCGCCGTCTCTCCCGAGACCTGGACATGATAGGAAAGAAATCATCAAGCTTTCATCCTGCATGTTTTAAAGAAAGCATCAGCACTCTTAAGGCTATATGTGTCTTGCACAACCTGACTATAAAGCTGCAGAGACTTTGTACCTTGTCCAAGCTGCTGGTATCTGGCGTTGAAGTCAGCGGTGGTGTCCATGACACTCTGGTCGTCGGCTTCACAGCTGTTGACGAGTGCATCAGACACAGAGTTGAGTGACTTCACACCTGGCTCATGCTCCTGGCCCTCCTTCTCAAGGAGCTGCAAAGGAGAAGGTAGGTTAAGATTCTTGCCTTGTTGTGGAATAATGTCATTAATAAAAACAGCACAGATTTATAATGCAATGTACTTTTGTACAAAGTACATGACTAGTACATGTACTTCTAAGCATTGTTCAGAACAACAGTCATTCTCACACAAAAGGCTTTGTACTATACACAACAAGACCTTTAATAATTCCTTCTTCATACAGTGCACAATGATCTTACCAAATCTTTTTCCACAATGACCAGCATGCATCTATACATTGTGTACATGTATGTCAACAATGACAAAGGCTATGGCAACATAATATCACCTCCACTTCTGTGATCTGGTCTAGT